AGTATAGAAAGTTGTGTTGCCAGGTGATCTGTGGTGTACCTGTCGATGTTAGGCTTCTTTGTATTTGGTTATGTGATTGAATTGAGTCTCTTGATGATGGAATCTAAATGTAATGAAGGACAGGGAGGGCTTCGTGTAGCGGGGGATCGAACTGTGATGTGGCAACGAGATCAAGCCTGTCGCAACGGGATACACTCCCACTATATCCGCACGTGGGGGGCATGGGCCACACCTGGAAGTGCGAGTCACAACGTAGGCTGGGGAACACGTGTCTCATCCGGACACACACGAGTCATACGGCAATACAGTACGGACACATGACACAGACACAGGGATGAGAGTCGGGACACAGGACTCGAACCTTGGCATTACCGTCGGGTAATTAGAGGTCGGGGAATGAACCATATCCAAGCCATGTGAGGTACTTTTTAAGAAATATAATTATACGCTGAAAGCAACAGTATGGCAGCAAGAGGACATACGACGCATTGGACATACACACCGTTGTTTCCGGACATGGGAGACGACGGTGTGACAGTGGGAGGACATGGGAGACGACGGTGTGACAGTGGAAGGACATGGGAGAAGACGGTGTGACAGTGGGAGGACATGGGAGACGACGGTGTGGGAGGACATGTGCGTGTCCAACAAGGCTGTATTTAGGACGCAGCAACTCAAGCAGATAGGAAGGAAGATAAGTACGTGGGTGGACGACTCTGGTGATCTATGTTCTAAACACATGCTCGCGCTCACGCACATGTGCACACAACCACACACTGGCACACATGTCCACGCACCCTCACACACACACACACGTGTGCCTGCAGCCCCCCCCCCCCCCCACACGAGTGTCTGCAGCAACACACACACACACACACACACACACACACACACACACACACACACACACACACACACACACACACACACACACACACACACACACACACACACACACACATGTGCCTGCAGCACACGATGGTTGAGTGGTTTAAGGCACCGTGTACACCAGTTGCAATATGCTCCTGGCGGTCCGGGTTCGAGTCACTTCTGGGGTGTGGAGTTTTCATTCGCATATATGCTTGGGGACCATTCAAGCTTGTTCGCATATTTTATATATATATATATATATATATATATATATATATATATATATATATATATATTATATATATATATATATATATATATATATATATATATATATATATATATATATATATATATATATATATGTCGTACCTAGTAGCCAGAACACACTTCTCAGCCTACTATTCAAGGCCTGATTTGCCTAATAAGCCAAGTTTTCATGAATTATTTATTTTTCGACTACCTAACCTACCTAACCTAACCTAACCTAACGTTTTCGGCTACCTAACCTAACCTAACCGATAAAGATAGGTTAGGTTAGGTTAGGTAGGGTTGGTTAGGTTCGGTCATATATCTAAATTAATTTTAACTCCAATAAAAAAAATTGACCTCATACGTAATGAAATGGGTAGCTTTATAATTTCATAAGAAAAAAAATAGAGAAAATATACTAATTCATGAAATCTTGGCTTATTAGGCAAATCGGGCCATGAATAGTAGGCATAGAAGTGCGTTCTGGCTACTAGGTACGACATATATATATATATATATATACACACACACACACACACACACATATATACTAGCTGTACCCAGCCACACGTTGCTGTGGCTCACAGCAGCCTTCCACTGTCTTCAGTCCTCCCAAACATTCCCCACTCCCTTCACCTCTCATCCTCCCTACCATTCCCCCCCTCCCTGTCCCCTCGTCCTCCCCACCATCTTTCACTCCCATCCCCTCGTCCTCCCCACTATTCCCCACTCCCTCGTCAAATGCCTTCCCAAATGATCTGATGTCCCTATCAGAAAATTGGGAACATCAAATGATTTGATGTTCCCATCACTGAAATATAAGAAAAACAGTTAAAAAACGAAATGAAAAACAATGAAAAATAAAAATAAACTATACTCACGAAATGAACGGTATGGTAAACAACACAGCTCAATTCCAATGCAAAGTCACTCAAATAATTAAATCAAAATGAAAATAAATCGAAATCTATGAAAATTCAATTTATCAATGCAATCGGAAACACTGAAATGGAATCGTAACATATTTAGTATAGCGTGTGTTGCTATTACGTGCAACAGATGGTGCTTTTTTTAAAAAAAGCATGTTTTTACCTGTCACAGGTGTGGCATCTATATAGTAGGTATATAAAAACACGTGCGTATTCGAATGGAACGTTGTGTCAAAATTTCAAAGCAATCGGTGAAGAACTTTCGGAGATTACAGCGTGTGTTGCTCTTACGTCCAACAGATGGCGCTGTTTTTAAAAAAAAAATGTTTTTTCCCCGTCACAGACGTGACATCTATATAGTATGTATATAAAATCTCCCTCGAACGGGAATGAAATCTTGTGTGAAAATTTCAAAGCAATCGGTGAAAAACTTTTGGAGATTAGGGATTTTGTACAAACGAACATTTATATTTTTATTTATATAGATATTTACACTCATCCATCACCTGTCTATCGTCCGTTCTTTTTTTTTATTAATACATTAGGTACATCTGCATTAGAGCAGCTACCCTAGACTATATGAAGTGGAGTACAGTGTGTCAAAAAAGCTAACTAGGTGATGCTATAAAATCCCCATCACACAGGATGGTTAGTCATACAGAGGCATGTGATGGACAGTCTGCACTGGCAGACTCCAGAAGCATTTTGAGGATATCATTAACACAAGATTGAATAAGGTAGCAGTGGTAATACAAGTCCCCATCTCGCAGGATGGTTAGTCATACAGAGCCATGTGTTTAATAGCCTGCACTGGCAAATTTTGGGTATACTGTGAGGATATCTTCAAGAATACGAGAGTGAATAAAGTAATTGCAAAGCTCCAGGTACCTCATGCCAACTGGTCTGAAAGGTCTAATAACTGGGCATTCAGTGATGTAGTGCGGGAGATCCTGCCGTAGTTCCTGCTCACAGAGTTTGCAACTGGAGTGCTCAGGATTGGGAGATCCGTCACCTGCCACAGGTAACGGTAACCCAGCCTGATCCTTGCAACCACTGTGTCGCACAGTCTAGTGGACGTTTTGTGCTGTCCATAGATGTAGGTTTCAGATCTGAACAAATCATAGCTTTTTATACTAGTACTTTCAGGTCGTTGGGAGTCAGTAAGTTCTTTCTTATCAGATCTGAATGTTTGGACCAATACAGTTTTGACAGCAGAAATGGGGATACCTAGATCTAATTCAACTTCAAACTTGTTACACGCTAATTTGGCTGCAATGTCTGTCTCATTATGATGGGTTATATTTATGTGTGAAGGTATCCATACAAAGGAGATTCGAGACCCTTTACTCTGTGCATCAATTAGGTCATTTAGAATTGGGAGTATGAGGTTCTTGTTGTCGATCTTCCAAGAGAAGTTTTCGATTGCTTGAAGAGCAGACTTTGAATCACAAAATATTATTCCTCCTCCAATGTTTTTTAATGTACTGGTAGCTAGGTGTAATGCTGCTAGTTCTGCTTGTGTGGAGGTCAGCTAGTTGTTTAACCTGACACTGACAGTCTTTGTGCAAATATTATTTCTATAAAACCTACATGCTGCTGCAGTCCGTCCAGTAGAAGACTGGACTGAGCCGTCGGTGTAGACACAATGCTCGTGAGATCTTAGACTCTCGATGGAGGAGGCAATTGTTTCAAGAGTGACAGCTTTGAGTAGAGCAAGATTCTCATTATCTTTCTTGGTGACAGGTGTGTATGATACTTGAATGGTGGGGTACAGATAAAGAGGAATATCAGAGACAGGTAGATTGCACTTAAAAGGAATGTTAAGTTTAATGAGATTGTAGGCATTGTTTCTCAGCCAATTATCATAAAAAGAGTGATATCCGGAGCCTGTCTCAGAAAAGCCACAGTCTACGGCCCCGTCAGCCACATTCCGTCTGTATTCCCTGTCTGTCTCTCACCCCATCCCACGCTGTTCTGTCCTTTATCTCGCAAAACTTCTCTCTTGTTTATCTGTCTTCCGTACCTGTCTCCCGTACCTGTCCTGCTTACCTGTCTCCCTTACCTGTCTCCCTTACCTGTCCTGCTTACCTGTCTCCCTTACCTGTCTCCCTTACCTGTCCTGCTTACCTGTCTCCCTTACCTGTCTCCCTTACCTGTCCTGCTTACCTGTCTCCCTTACCTGTCTCCCGTACCTGTCCTGCTTACCTGTCTCCCTTACCTGTCTCCCTTACCTGTCCTGCTTACCTGTCTCCCTTACCTGTCTCCCTTACCTGTCCTGCTTACCTGTCTCCCTTACCTGTCTCCCTTACCTGTCCTGCTTACCTGTCTCCCTTACCTGTTCTGTTTACCTGTCTCCCTTACCTGTCCTGCTTACCTGTCTCCCTTACCTGTCCTGCTTACCTGTCTCCCTTCAAGCCTTACCTACGGCCCCCACAAGCCACGCCTACCTCCCAAACAATCCCCAGAAACCACTCCCACAATCCCCGCCCGCTTCACTAACCACAACCCCCCCCCTCCCGCCCCCCCCCCCCTCCAGGACGCCACCATCAACCCCCCCGCCCCCCTCCAGGACGCCACCATCCCCCCCCCGCACCCCCGCCCAGGCACTGACCAACCATTGTCCGGGGTGCGTGACACCCGGACACACTGACCAGAGATCCGTGTCCTGATAGTCCACTTAATTGTTGTGTGTTATAACAAGTTGTTGGGGGGGGGAGGGAGGGCAGGGGGGGCAGACGGGGGGGGGAAGGGGGGAATGAGAATGAGGAAAGGAGGGGGGGGGAAGTTTTTTTTTTCAATTGTATACTAGCCCTACCATCATTAATTCTAGTGATGACGAACCACAACTATAGGACAAGCAGCCAGGCACGGGCGACGGAACGAGCCTGGCACTGGCGAGGAGGGGCTCAAGGTACACGGAGTAATGTGACTACACCCACAGGGTAAACCATGGGGCAGGCGGGACCCAACACCCACCCAGCCTACGCCCACCAGCCACCATGGGATATGCTATTGTGGGTAACGCTGGGGGAGGGTGGGGGGGGGGGAAAGGGCACTGCACTCACCAAGTTGTGCTTGCGGGGGGTTGAGTTTCGGCTCTTTGGTCCCGCCTCTCAACTGGTGTACAGGTTCCTGAGCCTAATGGGCTCTATCATATATACACTTGAAACTGTGTATGGGGTCAGCCTCCACCACATCACTGCCTAATGTATTCCAATTACTAACTACTCTGACACTGAAAAAGTTCTTTCTAATGTCTCTGTGGCTCATTTGGGTACTCAGCTTCCACCTGTGTCCCCTAGTGCGTGTTGGAAGACCTTACTGTTATGAACACAGGTTGGATAACAAGAACTTTTCAAACATGAAATACCAGATCACTGACTGATCTTTTAAGACACTCGGCTGGAATATAGTTGCAAACTAACAACTCCATTCAGATCTGCAATGGGATTATTAAGGGAAAGCGCCAAGCCATTACGACTATATAGCACTTGGAAGGGGTTAGGATAAGGATTTGGGATGGGACGGGGGAAAAGGAATGGTGCCCAACCACTTGGACGGTCGGGAAATTCAGAGCCCCAGAAAGTTGCTGACCTGAAGAACAAGCAAAGGTATTTCACTGGTCGAAATCCTCCAATAAAACATATTAATTATAGGTAAGGTTTAAAATACGTTAACTAATATGTATTCTCTAGTGCGCCGCGAGAGAGACGGACAATACATTACGTGCACAAAATATTAAAGGGACTTGTTGTTTAAGATTCGCTACCTGGAACAAAAAGTTCCGAGTAGCACGGGCTATGGTGAACCCGTAGAAAATTAAAGGGACTGATTCCAAATCTACACATGAAAATAACTCATGAAATTAGGAGGCATGGCAGGAGGAGCATCACAGCCCCGTGGAGAAGCAGGAGGAATACTCTGAGAGAGAAGTCTGTCAACTGAACGAATCCACAAGGGCCGTTATCTTGAGATGATTTCGGGGCTTTTTTTTTAGTGCTCCCGCGGCCCGGTCCTCGACCAGACCTCCACCCCCAGGAAGCAGCCCGTGACATCTAGCTAACTCCCAGGTACCTATTTACTGCTAGGTAACAGGAGCATCAGAGTGAAAGAAACTCTGCTCATTGTTTCTCGCCGGCGCCCGGGATCGAACCCCGGACCACAGGATCACAAATCCAGCGTGCTGTCCGCTCGGCTGACCGGCTCCCTAGGCCGTGACGAGGGTTCGAACCTACGTCTGAGAGGATCCCAGACGCTGCCTTAATCTGCTGCTTTAATTAATTGATGCATCACGCTATTGTGATTCATGTGTGTAATATAGTCTTATCAACATCAAAGGACGAAGCCTTCTCAATACTCCCTCTAACCCGGCGGGAGCCGGTGGCTGAGCGGACAGAATACTGGACGCGTAATCCTGTGGTCCCGGGTTCGATCCCGGGCGTCGGCGAGAAACTATGGGCAGAGTTTCTTTCACCCTGATGCCCCTATTACCTAGCAGTAAATAGGTACCTGGGTGTTAGTCAGCTGTCACGGGCTGCTTCCTGGGGGTGGAGGCTTGGTCGAGGACCGGGCCGCGGGGACACTAAGCCCCGAAATCATCTCAAGATAACCTCTCAAGAAGATAACCCTAAGGGACATAACCAATAGATCACTCAGGAGGGCGTTGATGAGAAGTACTGGATCAACACCTCCACATGATACCAGATCAACCAGGCTGTGATGCATACGTCAAACTACGAGAAGCGGCGACTGATTAGAGCCCGGTTGATCAGACCACTAACCAGGAGGCCTGGTCAGAGACCGGGCCGCGGGGACATTGATTCCCGGAACCAAAAACAGGTAAGTACGTCGCCATCCCGCCTTTGATATACCACCACCTGCCCCCCCCCCTCCTCAGTCAACCCCTCTACCCCCCCCCCCCCCTCAGTCAACCCCTCTACCCCCCCTCCTCAGTCAACCCCTCTACCCCCCCCCCTCAGTCAACCCCCTCTACCCCCCCCCCCCACAACCACTACACAATGCCTGCCTCCACTGCTTCACTTTCATTATAGCCAGTCATTTAAGACGTCAATTTGCGCTCTAATTGCCATTCCTTGTTAATTGGTCGTTAAAAATCGGTTAGTGTATTAATGAGCTTGTTATTACCGCTGTTGAGAGGTTATCGTAGATAACTGACGCCAACCCTAGGTCCAGCTTCCACCTTCAGGGGCTTCTGCTGTCTTTTCCCGCGCGAGAGTGTGCGAGAGTGTGCGAGAGTGTGCGAGAGTGTGCGAGAGTGTGCGAGAGTGTGCGAGAGTGTGCGAGAGTGTTTCAAGCTGCTGCCATGATGGAGTGAGTGCAGGTGAGAGGTTGTCAAACACCCTTCAACCTCCACTGTATAATTCCCCCCCCCCCACCGCTATCCACACCCAGAAACCTCCCATTATCCTCAACATCATCCATCCCACCAAACAGTTATCCACCATCCTTTACTCTACAGCCTCCAGCTACAACCCCACCATCCCTGTGGGAAGGTTGACATCCTTAAAACCTCCACATAAGTCTTCGCTAATATGCTCAACCACAACCCACAACCACAATCCCCCCCCCTCAACTACTCGACCATATTACTACAACGTTCATCAGGAATTGTTGAAAATTAAAGTCAGAAGAGCATCACAGATTGCTTAGCACTGACCTATCTTCTAAACCCAGCCATGTACACTGACCTAGCCTCCCAGCCCTCTACACTGACCTAGCCTTCCAGCCCTCTACACTGACTGAGCCTCCCAGCCCTCTACACTGACTGAGCCTCCCAGCCCTCTACACTGACCTAGCCTCCCAGCCCTGTACACTGACCTAGCCTCCCAGCCCTCTACACTGACCTAGCCTCCCAGCCCTCTACACTGACCTAGCCTCCCAGCCCTCTACACTGACCTAGCCTCCCAGCCCTCTACACTGACCTAGCCTCCCAGCCCTCTACACTGACCTAGCCTCCCAGCCCTCTACACTGACCTAGCCTCCCAGCCCTCTACACTGACCTAGCATCCCAGCCCTCTACACTGACTGAGCCTCCCAGCCCTCTACACTGACTGAGCCTCCCAGCCCTCTACACTGACCTAGCCTCCCAGCCCTGTACACTGACCTAGCCTCCCAGCCCTCTACACTGACCTAGCCTCCCAGCCCTCTACACTGACCTAGCCTCCCAGCCCTCTACACTGACCTAGCCTCCCAGCCCTCTACACTGACCTAGCCTCCCAGCCCTCTACACTGACCTAGCCTCCCAGCCCTCTACACTGACCTAGCCTCCCAGCTCTCTACACTGACCTAGCCTCCCAACCCTATACACTGACCTACCCTCTCAGGCCTCTACACTGACCTAGCCTCCCAGGCCTCTACACTGACCTAGCCTGCCATCCCTCTACACTGACCTAGCCTCCCAGCCCTATACACTGACCTAGCCTCCCAGCCCTCTACACTGTCCTAGCCTGCCATCCCTCTACACTGACCTAGCCTCCCAGCCCTCTACACTGTCCTAGCCTGCCATCCCTCTACACTGACCTAGCCTCCCAACCCTATACACTGACCTACCCTCTCAGGCCTCTACACTGACCTAGCCTCCCAGCCCTCTACACTGACCTAGCCTCCCAGCCCTGTACACTGACCTAGCATCCCAGCCCTCTACACTGACCTAGCATCCCAGCCTTCTACACTGACTGAGCCTCCCAGCCCTCTACACTGACTGAGCCTCCCAGCCCTCTACACTGACCTAGCCTCCCAGCCCTCTACACTGAGCGAGCCTCACAGCCCTCTACACTGACCGAGCCTCCCAGCCCTCTAAACTAACCTAGCCTCCCAGCCCTCTACACTGACCGAGCCTCCCAGCCCTCTACACTGACCTAGCCTCCCAGCCCTCTACACTGACCTAGCCTCCCAGCCCTCTACACTGACCTAGCCTCCCAGCCCTCTACACTGACCTAGCCTCCCAGCCCTCTACACTGACCTAGCATCCCAGCCCTCTACACTGACCTAGCATCCCAGCCCTCTACACTGACCTAGCATCCCAGCCCTCTGCACTGACCTAGCATCCCAGCCCTCTACACTGACTGAGCCTCCCAGCCCTCTACACTGACTGAGCCTCCCAGCCCTCTACACTGACCTAGCCTCCCAGCCCTCTACACTGACCTAGCCTCAGCCCTCTACACTGACCTAGCCTCCCAGCCCTCTACACTGACCTAGCCTCCCAGCCCTCTACACTGACCTAGCCTCCCAGCCCTCTACACTGACCTAGCATCCCAGCCCTCTACACTGACCTAGCATCCCAGCCCTCTACACTGACCTAGCATCCCAGCCCTCTACACTGACTGAGCCTCCCAGCCCTCTACACTGACTGAGCCTCCCAGCCCTCTACACTGACCTAGCCTCCCAGCCCTCTACACTGACCTAGCCTCCCAGCCCTCTACACTGACCTAGCCTCCCAGCCCTCTACACTGACCTAGCCTCCCAGCCCTCTACACTGACCTAGCCTCCCAGCCCTCTACACTGACCTAGCCTCCCAGCCCTCCACACTGACCTAGCCTCCCAGCCCTCTACACTGACCTAGCCTCCCAGCCCTCTACACTGACCTAGCCTCCCAGCCCTCTACACTGACGTAGCCTCCCAGCCCTCTACACTGACGTAGCCTCCCAGCCCTCTACACTGACCTAGCCTCCCAGCCCTCTACACTTACCTAGCCTTCCAGCCCTCTACACTGACCTAGCATCCCAGCCCTCTACACTGACCGAGCCTCCCAGCCCTCTACACTGACCGAGCCTCACAGCCCTCTACACTGACCGAGCCTCCCAGCCCTCTACACTGACCTAGCCTCCCAGCCCTCTACACTGACCGAGCCTCCCAGCCCTCTACACTGACCTAGCCTCCCAGCCCTCTACACTGACCTAGCCTCCCAGCCCTCTACACTGACCGAGCCTCCCAGCCCTCTACACTGACCGAGCCTCCCAGCCCTGTACACTAACCTAGCCTCCCAGTCCTCTACACTGATCTAGCCTCCCAGCCCTCTACACTGACCGAGCCTCCCAGCCCTCTACACTAACCTAGCCTCCCAGCCCTCTACACTGACCTAGCCTCCCAGCCCTCTACATTGACCTAGCCTCCCAGCCCTCTACACTGACCTAGCCTCCCAGTCCTCTACACTAATCTAGGCTCCCAGCCCTCTACACTGACCGAGCCTCCCAGCCCTGTACACTGACGGAGCCTCCCAGCCCTGTACACTGACCGAGCCTCCCAGCCCTCTACACTGACTGAGCCTCCCAGCCCTCTACACTGACCGAGCCTCCCAGCCCTCTACACTGAGCCTCCCAGCCCTATACACTGACCTAGCCTCCCAACCCTTCTACACTGACCTAGCCTCCCAGCCCTGTATACTGACCTATCCTCCCAGCCCTCTACACTGACCTCGCCTCCCAGCCCTGTACACTGACCTAGCCTCCCAGCCCTCTACACTGACCTAGCCTCCCAGCCCTGTACACTGACCTAGCCTCCCAGCCCTGTACACTGACCTAGCCTCCCAGCCCTCTACACTGACCTAGCCTCCCAGCCCTGTACACTAATCTAGCCTCCCAGCCCTCTACACTGACCTAGCCTCCCAGCCCTCTACACGGACCTAGCCTCCCAGCCCTGTACACTGACCTAGCCTCCCAGCCCTCTACACTGACCTAGCCTCCCAGTCCTGTACACTAATCTAGCCTCCCAGCCCTCTACACTGACCTAGCCTCCCAGCCCTCTACACGGACCTAGCCTCCCAGCCCTCTACACTGACCTAGCCTCCCAGCCCTCTACACTAATCTAGCCTCCCAGCCCTCTACACTGACCTAGCTTTCCAGCCCTCTACACTAATCTAGCCTCCCAGCCCTCTTCACTGACCTAGCTTTCCAGCCCTCTACACTGACCTAGCCTCCCAGCCCTCTACACTGACCTAGCCTCCCAGCCCTGTACACTAATCTAGCCTCCCAGCCCTCTACACTGACCTAGCCTCCCAGCCCTCTACACTGACCTAGCCTCCCAGCCCTCTACACTGACCTAGCCTCCCAGCCCTCTACACTGACCTAGCCTCCCTGCCCTCTACACTGACCTAGCCTCCCAGCCCTCTACACTGACCTAGCCTCCCAGCCCTCTACACTAATCTAGCCTCCCAGCCCTCTACACTGACCTAGCTTTCCAGCCCTCTACACTGACCTAGCCTCCCAGCCCTCTACACTGACCTAGCCTCCCAGCCCTCTACACTGACCTAGCCTCCCAGCCCTCTACACTGACCTAGCCTCCCAGCCCTCTACACTGACCTAGCCTCCCAGCCCTCTACACTGACCTAGCCTCCCAGCCCTCTACACTGACCTAGCCTCCCGTTCTCTCTCCCACTGGGCAAAACATGCTACTGTAACACTGAATCAGTGTTACTGATGTTACATCAACAATAACGACGTTGATTCAATCGAGAAATCTGTTGGTAAAGAATCCATAGAGACTGTACCCCGGGCCTTAGAGTTCGGGGGAGTCGTTCGTTGCAGCAATAGGAGCCCACTAACGACCCTGAGTAGTGACGTACAGTCACTACTCAGCATGGTAAGGTGCTTGAGGCCAACAACAACAGTCTGGCCTCCAACACACACACACACACACACACACACACACACACACACACACACACACACACACACACACACACACACACACACACACACACAGACTTTTGCTTGTATACATATCAAGGAGGTACCCAGCTGTGCCCGTCTCTCTCTCTCTCTCTCTCTCTCTCTCTCTCTCTCTCTCTCTCTCTCTCTCTCTCTCTCTCTCTCTCTCTCTCTCTCTCTCTCTCTCTCTCTCTCTCTCTCTCTCAACCTTTCCCTCATCCTTGTCCTCATCTCCGTTCTACGTGCTTTACAATCATACAGGCTTAGTGTTTTCTCCTCATAATTACCTCTGTCTTTCCCCCTCACATCCTTCCATTGTCTCATTTTTACAATTTCCTTCCTTTCCGACCATTCTATCTCTATTCCTTCCACTCTCCCCTTCATGCCTCAAATATCGATGATGAGTCAGAATGGGAGAGCCTAGACCCCAGCTAAGGCCCTCAACAGTCACAACTGGAAAGATGCACGCCTGTGTACCATGGTGTGGCCACTCCACCGCCTGTGTACCATGGTGTGGCCACTCCACCGCCTGTGTACCATGGTGTGGCCACTCCACCGCCTGTGTACCATGGTGTGGCCACTCCACCGCCTGTGTACCATGGTGTGGCCACTCCCTCGCCTGTGTACCATGGTGTGGCCACTCCCTCGCCTGTGTACCATGGTGTGGCCACTCCACCGCCTGTGTACCATGGTGTGGCCACTCCACCGCCTGTGTACCATGGTGTGGCCACTCCCCCGCCTGTGTACCATGGTGTGGCCACTCCCTCGCCTGTGTACCATGGTGTGGCCACTCCCTCGCCTGTGTACCATGGTGTGGCCACTCCCCCGCCTGTGTACAATGGTGTGGCCACTCCCCCGCCTGTGTAGCATGGTGTGGCCACTCCATCGCCAGTGTACCATGGTGTGGCCACTCCCCCGCCTGTGTAGCATGGTGTGGCCACTCCATCGCCAGTGTACCATGCTTTGGCCACTCCCCGCCTGTGTACCATGGTGTGGCCATTCCCCCTCTTCTATACCATGGTGTGGCCACTCCCCCTCCTGTGTACCATGGTGTGGCCACTCCCCCCCCTGTGTACCATGGTGTGGCCACTCCCCCCCTGTGTACCATGGTGTGGCCACTCCCCCCCCCCCTGTGTACCATGGTGTGGCCACTCCCCCCCCCTGTGTACCATGGTGTGGCCACTCCCCCTCCTGTCTACCATGGTGTGGCCACTCCCCCGCCTGTGTACCATGGTGTGGCCACTCCCCCCCCCTGTGTACCATGGTGTGGCCACTCCCCCCGCCTGTGTACCATGGTGTGGCCACTCCCCCGCCTGTGTACCATGGTGTGGCCACTCCCCCCCCCTGTGTACCATGGTGTGGCCACTCCCCCCCTGTGTACCATGGTGTGGCCACTCCCCCCCCCTGTGTACCATGGTGTGGCCACTCCCCCCCCTGTGTACCATGGTGTGGCCACTCCCCCCCCCTGTGTACCATGGTGTGGCCACTCCCCCTCCAGTCTACCATGGTGTGGCCACTCCCCCGCTTGTGTACCATGGTGTGGCCACTCCCCCCCCCCCCCCGCCTGTGTACCATGGTGTGGCCACTCCCCCCCCCCCCTGTGTACCATGGTGTGGCCACTCCCCCGCCTGTTTACCATGGTGTGGCCACTCCCCCGCCTGTTTACCATGGTGTGGCCACTCCCCCGCCTGTTTACCATGGTGTGGCCACTCCCCCGCCTGTTTACCATGGTGTGGCCACTCCCTCGCCTGTGTACCATGGTGTGGCCACTCCCCCTGCCTGTGTACCATGGTGTGGCCACTCCCCCCGCCTGTGTACCATGGTGTGGCCACTCCCCCACCAGTGTACCATGTTGTGGCCACTCCCCCGCCTGTGTACCATGGTGTGGCCACTCCCCCACCAGTGTACCATGTTGTGGCCACTCCCCCGCCTGTGTACCATGGTGTGGCCACTCCCCCTCCTGTGTACCATGGTGTGGCCACTCCCCCCCCTGTGTACCATGGTGTGGCCACTCCCCCTCCTGTCTACCATGGTGTGGCCACTCCCCCGCCTGTTCACCATGGTGTGGCCACTCCCCCTCCTGTGTACCATGGTGTGGCCACTCCCCCGCCTGTGTACCATGGTGTGGCCACTCCCCCTCCTGTGTACCATGGTGTGGCCACTCCCCCGCCTGTGTACCATGGTGTGGCCACTCCCCCGCCTGTGTACCATGGTGTGGCCACTCCCCCGCCTGTGTACCATGGTGTGGCCACTCCCCCTGCCTGTGTACCATGGTGTGGCCACTCCCCCGCCTGTGTACTATGGTGTGGCCACTCCCCCGCCTGTGTACCATGTTGTGGCCACTCCCCCGCCTGTGTACCATGGTGTGGCCACTCCCCCGCCTGTGTACCATGGTGTGGCCACTCCCCCGCCTGTGTACCATGGTGTGGCCACTCCTTCCTCTGTAAATTAAAGAAAACAATAGAAATAAATCCAGCCCTCTAACTCCTTCAATACAACAACAACTACAACAACAACAACAACAACAACAACAACAAGCACCCAACACCTGAGCATAAAGGCCCCGCAGGTGTTCCCGAGGTCCGGGAGATAGGTGTTATCTCAACATAAATACTTGAGTGAGAGGACACTAACTCCTGGTGAAGGAGGCGACACTAGTGGGCCTCACCCTTCAGCGTCCTCGCGCCTCTAATGGCCACCATGAGTCCTGTTTACACGCGGGACCTTCTCTGTCCCAGAGTGAAGAGTGGCAGGGTGGTGTCCTAGAGTGTCCCAGAGTGAAGGGTGGCAGGGTGGTGTCCTAGAGTGAAGGGTGGCAGGGTGGTGTCCTAGAGTGTCCTAGAGTGAAGGGTGGCAGGGTGGTGTCCTAGAGTGTCCCAGAGTGAAGAGTGGCAGGGTGGTGTCCTAGAATGAAGTGTGGCAGGGGGGTTGTCCTAGAGTGAAGAGTGGCCGGGCGGTGTCCTAGAGTGTCCTAGAATGAAGAGTGGCAGGGTGGTTGTGCTAGAGTGAAGAGTAGCAGGGTGGTTGTCTTACAGTGAAGGGTGGCAGGGTGTGTGTGTTCTAGAGTGAAGGGTTGCAAAGGGGGGGTGCGCTAGAGTGAAGAGTCGCAGGGGAGGGGGTGTTTTAGTGTCCTAGAATGAAGGGTTGCAGGGGGGTGTCCTAGAGTGAAGAGTCGCAGGGGGGTGTCCTAGAGTGAAGAGTTGCAGAGGGGGTGTCCTAGAGTGAAGAGTCGCATGGGGGTGTCCTACATTGAAGAATTGCAGGGGGGGTGTCCTAGAGTGAAGAGTCTCAGGGGGGTGTCCTAGAGTGAAGAGTCGCAGGGTGGTGTCCTAGAGTGAAGAGTGTCAGGGTGGTGTCCAAGAGTGAAGGGTGACAGGGTGGTTGTCCTAGAATGAAGGGTTGCAGGGGGTATCCTAGAGTGAAGAGTCGCAGGGGTGTGTCCTAGAGTGAAGAGTTGAAGGGGGTGTCCTAGAGTGAAGAATTGCAGCAGGGTGTCCTAGAGTGAAGAGTCGCAGGGGGGTGTCCTAGAGTGAAGAGTTGAAGGGGGTGTCCTAGAGTGAAGAATTGCAGCAGGGTGTCCTAGAGTGAAGAGTCGCAGGGGGGTGTCCTAGAGTGAAGGGTTGCATCGTGTGTGCTACTGAACAAGGAGATGCATGCCGTGTGTGCTACAGAAGAGCGTTGCAGTGCAACAAACCTGCAAGTGTGATGGGCTGGAGGCATCCGCATGCAACACTGCAGGTGTGGCGGACGAGAATCTCAGCAGCCAAATTATGTAGAGTGTAGAATGACAGCTTCAAGCCACAGGCGTCAGGGACTGACAGCTTCAAGCCACAAGTGTCAGGGACTGACAGCTTCAAGCCACAAGTGTCAGGGACTGACAGCTTCAAGCCACAAGTGTCAGGGACTGACAGCTTCAAGCCACAGGCGTCAGGGACTGACAGCTTCAAGCCACAGGCGTCAGGGACTGACAGCTTCAAGCCACAGGCGTCAGGGACTGACAGCTTCAAGCCACAAGTGTCAAGGACTGACAGCTTCAAGCCACAAGTGTCAGGGACTGACAGCTTCAAGCCACAAGTGTCAGGGACTGACAGCTTCAAGCCACAAGTGTCAGGGACTGACAGCTTCAAGCCACAAGTGTCAGGGACTGACAGCTTCAAGCCACAGGCGTCAGGGACTGACAGCTTCAAGCCACAGGCGTCAGGGACTGACAGCTTCAAGCCACAGGCGTCAGGGACTGACAGCTTCAAGCCACAAGTGTCAAGGACTGACAGCTTCAAGCCACAAGTGTCAGGGACTGACAGCTTCAAGCCACAAGTGTCAAGGACTGACAGCTTCAAGCCACAAGTGTCAGGGACTGACAGCTTCAAGCCACAAGTGTCAAGGACTGACAGCTTCAAGCCACAGGCGTCAGGGACTGACAGCTTCAAGCCACAAGTGTCAGGGACTGACAGCTTCAAGCCACAAGTGTCAGGGACTGACAGCTTCAAGCCACAAGTGTCAGGGACTGACAGCTTCAAGCCACAAGTGTCAGGGACTGACAGCTTCAAGCCACAAGTGTCAAGGACTGACAGCTTCAAGCCACAAGTGTCAGGGACTGACAGCTTCAAGCCACAAGTGTCAGGGACTGACAGCTTCAAGCCACAAGTGACACGGACTGACAGCTTCAAGCCACAAGTGACACGGACTGACAGCTTCAAGCCACAAGTGTCAAGGACTGACAGCTTCAAGCCACAAGTGTCAGGGACTGACAGCTTCAAGCCACAAGTGTCAAGGACTGACAGCTTCAAGCCACAAGTGTCAGGGACTGACAGCTTCAAGCCACAAGTGTCAAGGACTGACAGCTTCAAGCCACAAGTGTCAGGGACTGACAGCTTCAAGCCACAAGTGTCAGGGACTGACAGCTTCAAGCCACAAGTGTCAGGGACTGACAGCTTCAAACCACAAGTGTCAGGGACTGACAGCTTCAAGCCACAAGTGTCAGGGACTGACAGCTTCAAGCCACAGGCGTCAGGGACTGACAGCTTCAAGCCACAAGTGTCAGGGACTGACAGCTTCAAGCCACAAGTGTCAGCGACTGACAGCTTCAAGCCACAAGTGTCAGGGACTGACAGCTTCAAGCCACAAGTGTCAGGGACTGACAGCTTCAAGCCACAAGTGACAGGGACTGACAGCTTCAAGCCACAAGTGTCAGGGACTGACAGCTTCAAGCCACAAGTGACACGGACTGACAGCTTCAAGCCACAAGTGTCAGGGACTGACAGCTTCAAGCCACAAGTGACACGGACTGACAGCTTCAAGCCACAAGTGACACGGACTGACAGCTTCAAGCCACAAGTGACACGGACTCACAGCTTCAAGCCACAAGTGACACGGACTCACAGCTTCAAGCCACAAGTGACACGGACTCACAGCTTCAAGCCACAAGTGACACGGACTCACAGCTTCAAGCCACAAGTGACACGGACTCACAGCTTCAAGCCAAGTATCAGGAAACGCCAAATTCTTGTTGTTATTAATCTGAAACAAAGATAATTGTAAAATCAACAAGTTTATTACATTTTAACAATTGTATCCAGGACGCAATCCAATTTGTGTCCTGGGGCATGACAGCTGAGTGGACAGCGCTTCAGATTCGTAGTCCAGAGGTTCCGGGTTCGATCCCCGGTGGAGGCGGAAACAAATAAATTTCTTTAACCCTGATGCCTCTGTTACCTAGCAGTAAATAGGTACCTGGGAGTAAGATAGTTGCTACGGGCTGCTTCCTGGGGGTGTGTAACAATAAGGAGGCCTGGTCAAGGACCGGGCCGCGGGGACGCTAAGCCCCGAAATCATCTCAATATAACCTCAAGATAACCAATTAACACTATTAGCATAACCTACATATGTAAAAACCAGAAAAAGAGCCAAAACGCTTCCCAACACAACGACACTGGTCGCTTATAGTCCGAATTATGCTGCAACAACAACAGTCTGGTGAGTCAGTGTGGGTCGGCCACCAGGTGAGTGTACTCACAGGTGCGGGTCTCACAAATGACTGACTAACATGACGGTCATAAAGACGACTTATGTGATTTGTATTTACAATCACATAAGACTGATTGTAGAGACTGATTATAGTCAGTCTATTGAGATTGATTGTGAGACTCATTGTAATCAGTCACACAAATGCCAATCAGGTGATTGTATTCATTTATCATTCTCACAAAACAAAAGCTTCCGTCTGGCGATTGGATTCTCCCGTGTCACTAAACGAGACAGGTGTCGGGTGAGTGTATTCACAGGTGTCCTGGCCTGCAGGTGCCCCTCCGTCATCACCGCTACCTCAACGAGCTATTGTTTGCGCGGGCTAATGCGAGTAGTTCCACGCCGCCACCGCCGCTGTTGTTCCAACTCACACGCCGCTGACACTCCCACAACTCCAGAAAGACCCACGGGCTCACCATAGCCCGTGCTACTTGCCCCGCTCCTGTGCCAGGCAAGTTACGGGCTCACCATAGCCCGTGCTACTTGCCCCGCTCCTGTGCCAGGCAAGTTACGGGCTCACCATAGCCCGTGCTACTTGGCCCGCTCCTGTGCCAGGCAAGTTACGGGCTCACCATAGCCCGTGCTACTTGCCCCGCTCCTGTGCCAGGTAAGTTACGGGCTCACCATAGCCCGTGCTACTTGCCCCGCTCCTGTGCCAGGCAAGTTACGGGCTCACCATAGCCCGTGCTACTTGTCCCGCTCCTGTGCCAGGCAAGTTACGGGCTCACCATAGCCCGTGCTACTTGCCCCGCTCCTGTGCCAGGCAAGTTACGGGCTCACCATAGCCCGTGCTACTTGCCCCGCTCCTGTGCCAGGTAAGTTACGGGCTCACCATAGCCCGTGCTACTTGCCCCGCTCCTGTGCCAGGCAAGTTACGGGCTCACCATAGCCCGTGCTACTTGCCCCGCTCCTGTGCCAGGTAAGTTACGGGCTCACCATAGCCCGTGCTACTTGCCCCGCTCCTGTGCCAGGCAAGTTACGGGCTCACCATAGCCCGTGCTACTTGCCCCGCTCCTGTGCCAGGTAAGTTACGGGCTCACCATAGCCCGTGCTACTTGCCCCGCTCCTGTGCCAGGCAAGTTACGGGCTCACCATAGCCCGTGCTACTTGCCCCGCTCCTGTGCCAGGCAAGTTACGGGCTCACCATAGCCCGTGCTACTTGCCCCGCTCCTGTGCCAGGTAAGTTACGGGCTCACCATAGCCCGTGCTACTTGCCCCGCTCCTGTGCCAGGCAAGTTACGGGCTCACCATAGCCCGTGCTACTTGCCCCACTCCTGTGCCAGGTAAGTTACGGGCTCACCATAGCCTGTGCTACTTGGAACGTGTTCCGAGTAGCTGAATCTATAACAACAACAACATCGAGAAATACACAAGTGACACAAACTCACTTCGGAGGAAAGCTTGCTGTTGACGGTCTAAACAGGCCGTTGAGACTCGCTTATACTCGATTGATTAGTGGTGAGTAAGCCGCCACGAGTGGGGGCACGGGCATGAGTAACCCGTAGGTGGGTACTCAGTGGTCGTGGAACACTTTGACGTGTCTCTGGGCCCCTCGGCTGTTATACTGGACAGTTAGTACTCATACTGGACAGTTGCCTCATACTTTATATAGGGAGTGACCCACGCAGGTACAGGTAGAGGTAGACTCATGAGTATGCCTCATACTCACCCCTACACCACACTCATAATGGAAGACAATTTCCATAGGTTATTGTTTGCAAAGTCCCATCACCGATCCCCATTCATGGGCCGGCCCCCATTACCCCTCACTTTTCATCTCAATGGTTCCCAATTCCTGTCCTTTTCTCAACCTCTATTTCTCTTCGCTTTCCCCTATTCCCTGTTCAAGGTGATGATTTCTTTGACGAATGCAGACTACATATTGTCCAATTGTTACCTGACAAAGGCAGGTGTTGTTGCTGGTTCCTGTGTGTTCCTTACAGCTGCAGGTGTTGTTGCTGGTTCCTGTGTGTTCCTTACAGCTGCAGGTGTTGTTGCTGGTTCCTGTGTGTTCCTTACAGCTGCAGGTGTTGTTGCTGGTTCCTGTGTGTTCCTTAAAGCTGCAGGTGTTGTTGCTGGTTCCTGTGTGTTCCTTAAAGCTGCAGGTGTTGTTGCTGGTTCCTGTGTGTTCCTTAAAGCTGCAGGTGTTACTGCTGGTTCCTGTGTGTTCCTTAAAGCTGCAGGTGTTACTGCTGGTTCCTGTGTGTTCCTTAAAGCTGCAGGTGTTACTGCTGGTTCCTGTGTGTTCCTTAAAGCTGCAGGTGTTACTGCTGGTTCCTGTGTGTTCCTTAAAGCTGCAGGTGTTACTGCTGGTTCCTGTGTGTTCCTTAAAGCTGCAGGTGTTACTGCTGGTTCCTGTGTGTTCCTTAAAGCTGCAGGTGTTACTGCTGGTTCCTGTGTGTTCCTTAAAGCTGCAGGTGTTACTGCTGGTTCCTGTGTGTTCCTTAAAGCTGCAGGTGTTACTGCTGGTTCCTGTGTGTTCCTTAAAGCTGCAGGTGTTACTGCTGGTTCCTGTGTGTTCCTTAAAGCTGCAGGTGTTACTGCTGGTTCCTGTGTGTTCCTTAAAGCTGCAGGTGTTACTGCTGGTTCCTGTGTGTTCCTTAAAGCTGCAGGTGTTACTGCTGGTTCCTGTGTGCTCCTTAAAGCTGCAGGTGTTACTGCTGGTTCCTGTGTGTTCCTTAAAGCTGCAGGTGTTGTTGCTGGTTCCTGTGTGTTCCTTAAAGCTGCAGGTGTTGTTGCTGGTTCCTGTGTGTTCCTTAAAGCTGCAAGTGTTGTTGCTGGTTCCTGTGTGTTCCTTAAAGCTGCAGGTGTTGTTGCTGGTTCCTCTGTGTTCCTTAAAGCTGCAGGTGTTGTTGCTGGTTCCTGTGTGTTCCTTAAAGCTGCAGGTGTTGTTGCTGGTTCCTCTGTGCTCCTTAAAGCTGCAGGTGTTGTTGCTGGTTCCTGTGTGTTCCTTAAAGCTGCAGGTGTTGTTGCTGGTTCCTGTGTGTTCCTTAAAGCTGCAGGTGTTGTTGCTGGTTCCTCTGTGTTCCTTAAAGCTGCAGGTGTTGTTGCTGGTTCCTGTGTGTTCCTTAAAGCTGCAGGTGTTGTTGCTGGTTCCTGTGTGTTCCTTAAAGCTGCAGGTGTTGTTGCTGGTTCCTGTGTGCTCCTTAAAGCTGCAGGTGTTGTTGCTGGTTCCTGTGTGCTCCTTAAAGCTGCAGGTGTTACTGCTGGTTCCTGTGTGCTCCTTAAAGCCGTAGGTGACTCTCTTGAATATGAATGTTGAATACAGTGTACGCTGTTGAATACAGTGTACGCTGTTGAATACAGTGTACGCTGTTGAATACAGTGTACGCTGTTGAATACAGTGTACGCTGTTGAATACAGTGTACGCTGTTGAATACAGTGTACGCTGTTGAATACAGTGTACGCTGTTGAATACAGTGTACGCTGTTGAATACAGTGTACGCTGTTGAATACAGTGTACGCTGTTGAATACAGTGTACGCTGTTGAATACAGTGTACGCTGTTGAATACAGTGTACGCTGTTGAATACAGTGTACGCTGTTGAATACAGTGTACGCTGTTGAATACAGTGTACGCTGTTGAATACAGTGTACGCTGTTGAATACAGTGACTCCTGGAAGAGACCCAGTAAGGTACTGGAACGCGAATAAAGGTGAAAAACGGGAGCCAACGACAGAAGAGGCTGTAGAGAGGCCCGGTGGGCGTCTGTTATCAGAGGTTGGGCCTTAAATAAGAGGCAGCGGGGAGCAGAGAGTGCCATACTCTCACCCCCCCTCATTAGGATCTTATCCTCGCCCTTAGACCCGAGTGTATGGACCTACGGGTACCGCAGAGATGACGACGATGGTGTTGGTGGTGGTACTCACCTATTTGTGCTCGCGGGGGTTGAGCTCAGGCTCTTTGGTCTCGCCTCACTTCTGGTGGTGGTAGCAGAAGGTGGCCGGCCTCCCTGTCTGTGGGGGGGTGGGTGTGGAGGTGACCAGGATGGGCGGTGGGTCACCCTGCCAGCTGGTGGCAGGGTGCAGAGGCAGGGTGCAGAGGCAGGGACGTGGAGAGGCAGGGTGCAGAGGCAGGGACGTGTAGAGGCAGGGCAGAGAGGAAGGGCACAAACAGGGTACATTCCCCCACGTGTTTCCATGACTATTATTCCTCAATGAATATAATCATCAACGTGCTTTTAATACTTACCTTAAATATCATTGTTTCTCCCATAATCACTAAACTGTAACTACTGGTTTAGGTATACAGTCATTTGTCTGGTGAACCTATCTTACACGTAACAGGTTATAACTTACCTAACCTAACTTACCTGACCTATCTACAATAACCCATCTTACCTAACTTAACCTAACCTAACAAACATCCAACACATATGTAACTTAATATGTGAAACCGAGTCCGTGTTCTCCCTATGCATATAGACACCATAACAATTTTCCACAGATGAAAGAGATTCTAGATAATTATTTAGGTCTTCTCATTCTCAGATACACAAACGCATACAG